TTAGGTAGAAAAAAAAACAGTTGCAGTAAAATATTGTTGCTTTAAAGCAGCAAACCCCCCAAATTTGTGTCAAATATTAAGAAAAATTTAGAAAAGTGAATTTAATCGTCAAAATAGTCAAGTGATAGAAAAAAATAAAGTGTTTTGACCCAATCTTGGGTATTAAAAATTTCCCCAAAAAATGACTATAAATGATTAAAAATATCTTAAAATAGCCCTTACTCAGCAATAGGGTAATTTTGGTTATATTATGTTTAAAACATAATAAGCACTGCATAAATTGCAAGTTAGCTTCCATTCCCTAACCAATAACCCTGCTTGACTTGTGTAATAGAATTTCCCGGTTTTGTAATTGGAAAATCCATTCAAAGTTTTAAGTAATTACGGAATCAAAATACTTAAAGTTGAGAGAGCCTAGAATGGTGTGCAGGCTGGCCTGGCTCTATACTGGTGGGAAAGGCCAATCGTCTTTAGGTCCAGCAGGAAAGGGTTAAACTCTCTATCTAATTCAGGGTATTTTCTCCTTAACATCGCAGACAGATTCAAGGCTTTATTCCTAATTCAAAACAGCGGGTTTTTTTTATCTCATTTAACAAAGAAAAAAAAATTGAGGAAAAATTTAACTGTTTGGACTTGCTCTTAACTGCAGTGACTATATAATTGTTCAGGTTTCTCTCATAGTAACTGATCTTAAAACTTTCTCAAAATGCCGAACAATTTTCCCCAATTTCAGCCAGGAACTTCTTCCAAAATAGTTTGAAAAAAGCCCTGGTTTTGTCAAGCTCGACTTTTTTATTCATCTGAAGGTGTGCTGCTTTAAAAACATTTATTTTGCTTTTTAAATCTTAAAACTATATCACTTTACTTTTTTATTAACTTAATTTCAACTCGTACAAAAAAAAGAATAAAAGCTTAAAAACCCAAAACGTATTTAATAACCCACAATAATTGCCTGTATGGCAACATATTTCATTAATAATGTTTTAGATATATAAACAAATTTTTTTTTTACAAAATAACAAACTATTCATCCAATAACACGCATATAACATCACTAGCACACATAACGCATTACATTCATACATTGAAAAACAATAATAATAATAATCTAACATAAACAATTTAACAAACTAGCATACATGTACAACATCATAAAATGTCAAATTATTGAGTCATATTAATGATCAATTTAACACAAAAAGCCACCAGACTGGAAAAAAAAAAGAAGTTTAAATGTCCTATTCCTGAACAATGTTAACATTTTGGTTCGGAACAAGTGACAATTACAGTTGCCAGCGACCATGCTTAAACATTTGAAACAAACACCTGCAACACTAATTATAAATGAGCACCTTTTAGTTTATGATAAATATTGTGCGATTGACTTGAACACTGTGTGTTCTGGAAAAAATAACTGTGTTCCGGTTTAAACACCAAACTTGCTGAATTAATGTAATGGACTTGCCTAACATTGATTTTGGGAAAGTCTATTATTACTTTCAGGGGTTTTAATATAAAAATCAAGCAGCTAATAGTATAAAGTTTTTTCGGGCTAGAGAAATATAAAATTCGGCCAGACTATATACTGGTAGCAAAGACCCATTGTTTTTTCAGCATCACCATATTGCAGTAATGTGTTATGTCCTTCTAAATTTAATAGGATTTAACCAGTTACTGCACTAAGGTGATGTATGACTGCTAGCACCTTAATCTGCTGAATTTTCTTAAATGATCTTGCCCCCACCACCCAACAGTGGCCACCCCTGTCCCCCTCTCCCAAACTTCCATTGTGTTGGAACTGTCTATTATCAATTTTTAGGGATTCTAAGATTAAAACTTTAGTCAGCCTTAAAAAAAGACTTTTAGTAAGCAATTTGACAGTAGATTTTACCTGGAGATGTCTCAATGAAGCAAATGATGTTCACTTACGCCACAGATATAAGACAACGATAGGACGAAACCAATTGTTTTTGCATCTTGTTTTCATACATTCCTTTTGTTTTTTGGTATTACCCTGACTGCTGGCTGAGAGAAGATAATACCTCTGATAATTTAATCAATCTTTCTAAACATACCAAAGTTAATGTATTTGTTTATTAAGAACCTACAGAACAATACATTTATACACTATTGTTCCCTGTGGTTAACCCCCCCCCCCCCCCCCCTCAAGAGAATAACTTTTTTTTCTTTTTCTCTTTCCTTTGAACTTAAGAATTTTTCCAATTATAGAATGTGGAAATATAAATAAATGTGTCCTTGGAACAAGACCTTGACTTGTATCTGACAGCCATAAACATTTTAATTTTCAGTCTTGAGAAGAAGAAGAAAAGACTATTTAAAAACTACTAAGGCATTAGACTCGGCAACTTGAGAAGATCAAAATCTCATAAAATCTCATTGAATATGAGATTTTATTTATCATTTTTCCACAGAGTCATGGTGTTTGATTTACTGAGCCAGAATAATGATGTAATTTCTATGTTGAAATAAAAAATCTTCCTTCTATAAATAAATGCTCAACACATTTCAAACGTTAATCAATCCTGAACTTAATCAAATGTGCCCTAGTTGTGTTCAATATTTACAGGTATTAATTTTAAATATAGTTTTGTTATATCTATTTGCCATAGTTGTGTACCATCTTTTTAGCCATAGTTGTTTTGGGTTTTGATTATCATTATTGTATGTTTGTTTGAGTTTTACATCACATTGACACAGTATAGGTCATTGGCGACATTCCAGCTTTACTGGTGGAGGAAGACCTTCCGTGCATTATTTCAGGTACCAACAGACACCTGAGTAGAACCACGGACGTTCCGTAAGCTAGCTGGATAGCTTCCTCACATGAAAGAATCCAAAGTCCCTGTCGAGATTCTAACCCACAGCAGTGAGGGTGATTATCATTAATTTTAGCCTTAGTTTAGTTTAAGCATGTGAATAGCATTTAGTCTTGGTTTTAGCAGTTTAATACTTTGTTTATTTGGTTTGTTTATTTTTAGCATGTGAGTATAATTTAGCCTTAGTTAAGTTTGAGCGTACTATTTATTCTACCAATCATTTCTCCCTTGAATTCCAGCTTTTTAGCAAAAAAAGCCACACCTGCCCTAGAAAAATCTAAAACTTAATTGTACAGATAATTTCATATTCTGTAACTATTGCTTCCCCCACTTTCAAATATTCATTAAATTTACAAACCAATTTATGCCAACATGACAAATAGCATTTACAAATGAAATTTAATCTGCGTGGCATTAGAGAATCAAAATATCTGGGGAGGAACAGTCTCTGGTTACAAGCTACTGGAATTTGTTTCTGCAGCAAACTTATAATTTTTAAATTTGTAATGCCAATCACCTAAAACGGCATTATAATAGCAATAACTCTTTTTTAAAAATTCAAGGACTTTTTACTATAGTGTTAGCTTGTGAGCAAGGCATAAAAAATCTAGGAAATTCTATCTAAGTTTTCAGAGATGCAAGTAACATTCTTATTTAAAGAATTCCACACAACAATGTCTTTACCTAATTGATGCCAAGGTGCCACAGTGAATGTTGATCATGTCAAGTTAATAGTCACTTCAGGTAATAAATACCTATTACTTTGGACAGAGGACATAAATACCTATTACTATGGACAGAAGACAAGTGTCTAATTCAAGGACAGGAAATCAAATATCATTCCATAATGTTGGAAAAGAAACTCCTATATCTTTATCTTAGTTTGTAAAAACTTTCAGCCATAGTTGTTAAATATCTTGACAGTCAAGGATGTATCTTTTAGCCATAGTTCAGCCACTGTAGTATTACATTCACCCATAGTTACTTTATATTATGTTAAGCCTTAATTGAACTTTCATCTTTTAGCTATAGCTGTGTAATATTATCTTTTCAGCCAAAGTTGTGTAGTATTTCTTAGCCATACTTTGAATTAAGAAATTTAAATTTTTTGGCCAAAGTTTTGAGATATTTGTTAGCCGTAGTTGTGTTATAGCCATAGCTGAGTTACATCTGTAAGCAAGCTTTAGTTCAACCTCTGCAGAGCAACTCCATTGGGAGACAAATATTTTGGTTGTTACTGAGATGTGATTGCTCTAGAGAGGTTAAACTCATTGTGAAGTCTTACTTTAGTAAACACTGAAACTGTTGTTGTGAATAGATCATTGCTCTAGAGGACAGTTATGTGAAGGCTACATTTCAATTCATACATTTATCATGTTTATTGCTACATGTACTCTTAGGTGGGAGGATGGCGCTAAATTACACCTTTTAGTTTGACTGAGCATTGAAAACTGCCCAAGCTCTGTTCTTGAATAGTTGTTGATTATTTAAGTATATCTCAGACTGGAAAATGAAGCAAGTCTCCCACCATGTAGTGTCTTGTATAAATCAATACCAGTCTCTCGTACTTATTTACTAGGGAAACAACAACAGGGAAAAAAACAACTAGAAATTTTGATCAAATCTAATTTAGAGGCTTCTCTCAGCCTTTCTAATAAAGAACAGCATTTAAAAGACAAAAGAATTCCAAGAAAATAGTAGAAATGATCTAATAACAACTACATTTCAATCATTATTCAATCAACACTTGAGAAAGCCTTTAATATTGTCAATTTTCCCCACATATCACCCCCCCCCCCCCCCTAAAGTTCTCTGCCATATGGAAACAACTACTTTTAAAGCGTAAAATATGAAAATGAATTTGCTTTTTAAATGGCTGCATTTTATTGGTTTCTGATTTAGTCATGAAAGCATGTTTACAAATACTTTATTATTGTACTGTATTTCATGCAAAATTTTGCAGGAAACATTTTCTTTATCTATTCAATCAAGCCATCTTATTTTATATAAAAATGATTGATAACAAAAACAAGGTCATTTATGAATGAAGGTCAAGTTTAGTCAGGTTTCCTTGAAGGTCATGTCCCAAGGATTGTTGTGGCACAGTATGAAGACAATACACCAAGAACTTAAGATCAACGTTTAAGTTTTAGGGACTGTAAAAAAAAAAAAGTCAAGCTATTAAGTTGCAAAAATTTATGTCTTAATTCTGGTTTTCCATAAAGATGTTAATCCTAATAATACAGGTGGCAACAAATTCAACCTATACTACCAGTGCAAACCAAGATCAGAGAGCACATCTATGCCATCTGATCAGGGTCTACACTGCTCTGGTTACAAGCTACTGGATTTTGTATTAAATCCAATTTTCTGCAGCAAACTTATAATTTTTATATTTGTAATGCCAATCACCTAAAGAGTGCATTATATATTTAGAAATGTTACCTAAAAATGACAAATAGGTTTGTCTGCATTGAACGATGGACAAGTCCATTTAAGACATTTAGCAGGTTAAGGGTTAAACAATGTAACGTAATACACCGAACAACTCTTGTTACATTGTTTTGCTTTGAGTACGCTGACACTAATTCAACAAACAAACTGAAAGATCAAGACGGACAAAAAAAAATAAAATTAACAGACGGGTGCCGAAACAATAACCCTGCTTCTGAAGGTCAAGGACACAATACCTATTAATATCACATCTTAATAACAGAAAACTATAACAAAACATTGTCAGGCATATTTCATAGCTATAAGATCAGAAAAGGGATTTTCTCATGTTTTGGTCAATCTACATTACTAGAAAATATAAGATTGAATACTGAAAAAACAAGAGCTGTCGGTAGGACAGCAACGCTCGACTATTCTTAGTGCTTGATAGTAAAAAAAAATGCTTGATACAGTTACCTCCTTCTGTTTACAGGTTGGGGTCATGATGGTGAACAAGTGTGCAAAGTTTCAAAGCCATATGTCAATGGACTTGGAAAATATTTGAACTATTAGAAAAACTTTAACGTAAATTCTAAGTCGAAAAAGGGGCATAATTCTGTCAAAATGCTTGATAGAGTTACCTCCTCCTGTCTACAGGTTGGGGTCATGATGGTGAACAAGTGTGCAAAGTTTCAAAGCCATATGTCAATGGACTTTGAAAATATTAAAACTATTACAAAAACTTTAACATAAGTGGTTACGCCGACGCCGACGGTCGGGTGACTACAATAGCTCTACTTATTCTTATCGAATAGTCGAGCTAAAAATAAAAAATCCTTACAAGAAAAGACACTGGTTGGTTTTTGTTAAATCCTGAATAAATGGCAACAGGAAAATAGACAAGTGCCAAAGATTAAAAAAAAAAATGTTTCACTCCCTTTTTGGGGCAGATTTTGCATCACCACATACCTAGTTAGTTTGTATATCCCTTGAGGTTTTCAAAAAATTAACATTTTATCAATTTATTATTGACAATAATAAATTCATCTTTTAATAGAAGAAAACCCATAAGCTTATCAGGCTTCATGAAACACCAAAGAACAGCCCAACTCCCCTATCTGATCCAACTGTAGTCTTCTAGAAAAACAAGTAGTACTGCATTTAAAAACAAACAAATATCACTCTTTTAAGAAAACAATCTCAACAAAATCAGACCAGTAAATAACTGGTGTTCCACCTTGAAAATAAGATATTTAGGAATAAATCAAAATCAACTATTGATATAATCACTTGTTTTGAGAAGCTTTTGCATGTGTTACTTAATGTTAGAGTGATTCAATGTGACAGTCGAGTTAAAATACTGGCAGCATTTATGCTATTCATTGGCATAAATATCATAAATATTCTCCCCGCCCCACCCACTTCCCCATTCCTTATTTCTATAAATATCTTAGCTTTGCTAAATGTCATTGCAACATAAAACAAACCCCTTGAAAAAAAAACACACACACAATGCAAGAGTCCATCCAATATAAGTAAATATCAATAGTGTAGTCTGCACCTTTGGAGAATGAAAACGATGCTCAAGTAAATCTTATATAAGAAATTGCTTAAACATGATTAAATTGATCATGAAGGAAAAACAAACATTACAAAAAAACACAAAACATTTAAAATAAAGCACTTCTTTCAAAAAGAATGCAATCTTTATCATAAATAAAGCAAAATGAAAAAGTAAAGAGAAAAAATAAGAAATTAAATATCCTATAATTATAAATACTGTAAAAAAAAATATTTTTTTTTTCCCTTCAGATTTTGATATACATGTAATACATAATTGAATTCTGGTTATTATTCTATCTTTGTGTTTTTTCTACAGTTTTGTTTCTAAAATGAACAAAAATTTTGTATCATGGCAATAACTGAGCGCATGAATTGGCAGGCATAGAGCATGAATCTGCAGCCGATATGAATACAGTATGCATATTTCGTTTTTTTTTTAAACATTCTAAAAATGAATACACAAACAACTAGCAATCTTATCCAATTGGTGTAAATTTTGCAGCACAATACCTTCAATAGCCAAAACCTAATCTGACAACAAAGGCAAATTCTGTCACTCTGACAAAAGAGGCATATTCTCTGTCAATCTGACAAAGAGGCATATTCTCTGTCAATCTGACAAAAGAGGCAAATTCTCTGTCATTCTGACAAAGAAAGCATACTCTCCCTCATTCTGACAAAGAAGGCCTACTCCCCCTCATTCTGACAAAAGAAGGCATATTCTCTATAACAAACTAGGCATGGAGGGATAACTTCTTCACAAATGTATGCATATACTCCTCATGTACCAAAATGTTGTTTTTTTCCTTACACTCTTGTCCATTTTCTCCAAACAAAGCAGGTGAATTACTCCACATAAAGCAGGCATATAAACCGCACAAAGCAGGCATTTCAATCCAGAAAATCACATCACAGAATGTGGTGAAGACAAGTTTTTGTTTTGTTTTTTCATCAATAATCCACCAGGACAGAAATGAATGGAAAAACCTCTAGTTTTGATGAACTTTGACACTATCGGGGTCTGAAATATAAAAAAAGAACATTTCTTTTACAACAGTATAATAATTATCCAATAAACTAATTAAAACAGGCTGTTTTCAAGCTAGCTCTGGCAAGAATGCAATCTGTTTTTAAATTTAGTATGTAACAGTAAAGGGTAACTTTTTATGATTATGATACATATAGATTTAGATAAAAATTACAGAAAAGAATTTTGATTTAAGTTATGATACATGACTGGCATTTTCAGTTTTTCTGTAGTGTATAATAGCTAGCACATCATCATGAAGATGTCTTTTTCTTTGTTGCTTTCTTTGTTTACTTTTCTTTTTTGTTGGGTTGGAGGTTGGGAGGGTATGTAGGTTTAAGTTACACCAACACTATTCAGGTAATATGGCAGCTTTCCCTATAAGAGGAAGACAATTTATTGGCCTTCTGTGTATTATTTCAAACCACAAATCTCATTTAGGTTACTAAGCCTCATAAAGCCCCATATGGGGTGGGGAGCATTTTCAAATGAAGAAAATAGTGTGGATCAAATAACTCTAGCCAGTTCAGTTTTGTTTTTTTTCCATTCATTCTGTGAAAGTTGTGAAAATATTTCTTCAGGTATATATATATAACTTATATTAGTAAAGTATTATATATGACATGATAACTAGGAGTGACAGATAGAGATAAAGGGATGAACTTTCTATTCATCTAATCAATCATAAATATATACATGTGTAAAATATTGTCTCTCTCTCTCTCAGCACTACTTTCTGTGCAAATCAATATGCCAACAACACTGGCAGAGAGAGAGAGAAATCAGATAGAAAAAAGCTCTATTACACTAATATTTCAAACAGTCTTCCCATCAATAACCTTGGCAAAAGAACCGGGGAAATTTTTTTTTTAGATTTCAAATTCTAGTGGTGATAACAACTTAAACAACTTGCCTTTACCATGAATAAAGAGTAAGGATTTGTAACACATGTATTTGTCATGATCCTGAATACCCCCTCTCCCAACCCACCCCGGCCCCTCTGCCTCAAACGTTTACCCACTCCTTTGTATTTATGGACTGTAACTTAGCAACAAGTATCAACCTACCTTTTTCTTGCAACTGTAAAGTTCTGTCCCATTCTGTAAAAGTAAATAAGAGAAAATTATTGAACGATTTACAATGCAAAAAATTTACAAATGTCCATGACATTTAAGCATTGAAACAAACTGTGTTAGTACACAGTCATACATTGGGACAAAAAATTCTTTTGGGCTTAAAGTTTTGAGTTCAAGACAAATAAATAATATAATAGCAGAATACACCATTTTAGTCTTCATCTGACAGGTCGACCTGAATTTATCAATACAATGCAAACAGATGGGTGACAGGTAAACCTTAATGATTTGTAGAGTTGATGAACGAACCTGTACAATTTTCGTTAATCTTATCACCAGACTAGTATCTACATTGTATGTCACAAGCACAGACTGGATTAAAGGATGAATCATCATCAGATGATAGCATAAGTCTAGACTGGTACAGTACATACAGTTAAGCCCCTTAACCTGCCAATTGTGTGTATTAAGCTACCACAGGGCAGTATAGGCTAAGGGTCATGTCAGGCTTCACGGATGTGCAGGCTGACCCGTCTCTATACTGGTGGCAATCACAGGCGTTCGGCACATTTGCCATGCCAATAATGGTCAAATTATCATAAAATAATCACCCCTTGATCATCAAGAACAAAATTGCCATCCAGCACCCATTTACTATAATTATAAAATATATACATTTTATATGATAATTTTACCATTATTGGCATGGCAAAAATGCCGAACGCATGTCAATGGTTTATATAAATCACTTCTAGTTCTAGTCCATAACAGGTTGAAGCATACTAATCAGTGGATGTTTTTCTTTCAGTGTTTTGTGAATAGGTCTCTGGGGCTCATTAAAATTGTGAAAATAAGTAATGAAACGCCATTATTTCTAAATATTATATAAATTATACCGTCAAAATCTAGCAATTTAATGAGGCTAAAAAAAGTTTAAATAATGTGTTGGAAAATGCCTTGATTCATGATAACATCTTATTTAACAATTTTTCATAACTTAACATCTCTGTTATTCATGTTTTTATGTCATTGACAATTTTGTACCCCAGCACCCCATCCCCTCCCCTAAATAAGAAGGGAAAAACCCACATTATATTGACAGAGAGAGTTCCAGAAAACATCTATTATTTGGACTGAAAAGAGCCACTGGAAACAAAATGATTTATCTTCTGTGAGTATATAATGACTAGCTGAACTAGCTGAAATGTTTACCTCAATATAATCAACACCTCATGCACAAACGCATAAAAAAATTATTTTTCCAAGGTCGCAGTATGTAGGTAATTATCTGTAAAGTGTTCCCTACAGGTGTAAAGACACAGAAATTTGCCACTATCAGTGTAACAATTATGCATCAACAAATGCATTACTTTAAGTACAACTGTAAACTTTTCAGATTTGACCTCGACAACCATGTTAATGTGCTAAATTTCACCAAGATTTGCAAATAAAATTAGAGAAGTAATGTTCTAAAACAAAAAATTGTGCATAATTTACATAGAATCTGTAAGACTGGAGTTATATGCCCATTTTCAAGCTTTACTGATGAAGGCAAATCTGAGATACCTATCTGCATTATCTCTAGACAAAATGTGGCACCCCTAGTAGAACCACCAAACCTTCCTCATCAGTCATTCAACATTCTCTCTGACAAATCACACATATTTCATCTGAATGAAATGCAGCAAGTAATGATCGTTCTAAATATAGATTTATAAATCTGGTGCTTCTCTGTTAGCGGTTAAACATTGCTTACACATCTAAATTAATACTGACATGCTGACCTTGACCTAAGGAGATGGAAGGGTGGGGGTTTCAAATTGGTAACCTACAAGCCAGATTCCAAGCCATCATTTTATTTCAAACACCAGGCTATTTTCCATTTTAATACTTTAACCCGTCGACCCAGCTGAAACCAAAAGTAAATAGCCTTTGCCACATCTGGTAGTCTGACCAGGCTCAGTATCAAAATTACATCAAATATGTTGGCTGAATAACTAAAAACTTTCATCAATGATAATGGACAGTTCCAAAAATGGAAGATAGACAAGTCTATAACACAAATTCAGAGGGACATTTCAACCATGACCTAAAATAATTGGGGCCATGCTTCATTGTCAGTAGGTTTGGCAAAATCTGATTTTGGTTTAAATGTCCGGTTTTTACCTTAAGCATTTCTTAACTTGTCTGCATGATTTTTATATTGTTAATTTATGAAAATTTCCTCTTGTCCATAAAATCTCCATGTCAAAATTTACCTTATTCTTTATTAAACAGACACCCGAGAGTTTAGTATTTTAAGATATGCCTTATATTTATATAATTTATATAAATGGTAACCTTGCATTCAACTCAAAATGTCTGTAGAACAGAGAACTTCATAAGCTATATATAAATCAATTTTCACACCAATAACTCGCTCCTATCTTTTATTCACCGAATGGGAAACTATTCCTATTTATAGTCACTGTTAACCTGACCTTGATACCTAAGATGACCTTGTCAATATTTAAATAGGATATGCTCAAGTCTTTTACGGTGTGTCATTTTTTCCTTAAAGGCACATTATGCTTCAGAAATGATTTTTTTCTTTCTTCTTTAGAAAGGGCAAAAATGTGCTTTTAATTGTTTATGTAATGGATTTAGAGCATGTTAGATTCTTACCACTTGCAGAAAGTAGTGCCAAATGTGCCAAATGTAAAGTAATTTGTCATAAAAGTAGCATAAAACAAAGTGGTATTTTGACTTTCGTTCAAAACACTAAATCACAACAACTGTACCCTATAAATGCAAATTTGAAAAGAAGCAAAGCATTGTTCCATTATATGGCCAATGAGTAACTATTTGGTAAGGAAAATGAATCAGGACACCAAAAATAACATAAAATTAGAAAAATAGATTTTATCTTCTTTTTTTTGTTTTAGCTTAATGGGCCTTTAATACTCAAGGACAAATGATTTATACCGTTAGACATTTATCCTTTTATACTCAAGAATAAATAAGTCTTCAACCACACCAATATTTTTCCTTTATTTTCAAGGTAAATGATTTAAATACACTTAAAGATATTTATCCCTTTATACTCGAGGAAAAAATATTTATATCCTCACCATTATTTTCCCCTTATTTTCAAGGACAAATGATTTATACTCTGAATGTTATTTAATCCTTATTTTTCAAGGACAATAAATATATATCCATAGAGTAACCAATCTTTTTGTTTTCAAGGACAAATGATTTATACCCTCACTGTCATTTAACCCTAAACTTTCAAGGACAGATGATTTACAGCCTGTCAGTCACTTCTTAAATTATTTTAAAGGACACTGTGTCACTTATCCATAATATTCAAGAACAGATGATTTATACCCTCATTATTATTTATCCCTTATTCTTCTAGGACATCTTATTGGCGACGCCGGTGAAGCTCATTCATTTATATATTTTTAAAACTTTCCTACAAGAAGAAAGTTCACCTGCAAATGAGTATTAGGATAGGTAATGGACTGTTGTAAACGATTATCCTATTGATTGTATCCATATTACGTTTATCTGTTGATCAGAATGGTTGTTTTTACAAAGTGTACCAGTATCCGGATGTTGACAGCTATCCGATTTTCTGCAATTACTGCTGTCACATGGCCATCTACTTTTTTATGAATTCTTTACCATTAATTAGCATGGCATAATTAAAATGAGCCTGCAACATTTCTTAATTTTGATGTTTAGGGTGTTCTTTTGGGTTTCAATGTTTTCTTTATTTCAAGGGGAAGTAACTCATGTTAACTAAAATTATTTGTTCTTTTCCGTCTATCTTAGGTATTACTTACAATTTTTGTTTTAATAAAATTTACCAGTTGTAAGGTCATCAAAAGCATAGAGGCCCTGATGAGTGAATATTGATATATATATACTTTTACTGGCTTTATATACCCAATATATTTCATATTTAATTTAATAGAAACTTGGAATTATTAATGTTATGTGCATACATTTATATCTTAGTATATTGGTATGATGAGACTTATAATATTTCTGAATTTAAAGAGTTGCAGTTATGTCATTATTATTAAAGGGATGAGACTTTCATTTAAAGTTATAAATGATAATACATGTATTGATTGAAAATGTCCTGAAACTTGGATCAAGCAATATAATTGATAAAGCCTCAAAAAATCATGTTCTGAATAGTTATTCTAATTTTTTTCTAACATGTGCATAGTTTGAAAAGGACAGCTTCTGACTTATCTATTTGTAATGGAGGGACACCGGTCTCAACCTCCAGGTCTCCTGAGTCAACCCGACAACAGACTTTACATTAGATAGTAGATTGTTACTAGTCTTGAATTAAATTTGTACACTAAATTTTTATAGTGGGTGATTTGTGCCACATGAAAACCAACAAAGTACAAAAAGTAACCGGGCGCCAGATGAAAACATGAAAATAATATCTACCACAAAGTGGTTCGTTTGTTGCATTTTCATGTTTTCGCCCGTGCCCTAGATGTAAAATACAAATCAGCCTTCATAAACATTTCTTATCATAGATATTGTACATGTATAAGCACAGTTATATTCACTTTCAAATTGACCTGTTATAAATAATGGCACATTCATAACTGTCTTAGCCCTTTTTAGTAAAAATAAATTATACAATAATAATTATATAAATTGTTATTTTAATTATATAAAGCTATGAGTATGTAAGGTTTTTTTTCTTATTTATTAATTAAGAATTAATTATCTGTTAATTTAAAAAATCTTATATCTTGTCACGCTTTAGAACTGTTCACTATTTAGGGAGAAAATGTGTAAGCGGCCAGATAGCTCAATCGCTACAGCCGCGGTACATTATTCTGTGGGTCACAGGTTTGAGTTCTGGTCAAGCTGAAAGTTTTTCTAATCCTGTTACTGCAAATAACATTAGTTTAATTTACTATGCTCTGTAAACATCAGAAATTCAAGTACATGAATCAATATAGTGGGGAAAAAGGTTTAGGTTAGAACTGTTTCATTAATAAATAGAAAATGTGTAGCGGCCGGATAGCTCAGTTGGTCTTCTGAAAGTCATGGGGTTCGAGTCATGGTCAGGCAGTTTTAGTCAGGGTTTAGAAGTGTTTTTCAACTGACACATTTTGATTCATTTAATAGATTGCATTTAATTTGAAATGGACAAAGCAGTATTGCGTGATACTTTTAAATCTACAAAAAGCATTTGGTACAGTTGATCACACTATACTGCACATGAAGAAGTTCTTTTTTCTTCTTCTCATGAACTTCAAGCATCTGCCATATGTAATGACATTCTTGCATGGTTCAAGTCTTATCTCTGATAGCAGCTGGTGAATGTGGCTGGTACTCGTCTCTCTGAAATATCTATGGTGTCCCCTGATGTTCATTTTAGGTCCTCTTTTATGTCTAATATATGTCAATGACATGTCTGCAACCCTAAGCAATAAGCTTTTATTATATGCAAGTATCAGACCTGGGAAGAAAAATATTACCAGATTGATAAAAAAACCTGTGTTCATCTTAAAAGTGTCACAAACCAAAAAAAAAAATGTAAATGATGACCCCTTTAAAAATATACTTAAAGTTAATAGTATATTTTTAAAGGGGGTCATTATTTACATATTTTTTTTGGTTTTTGACACTTTTAAGATGAACACAGATTTTTATTAATCTGGTCATATTTTTTCTTCCCAGGTGTGATACTTGTGCCTGTGATGATGACTCAGTATCCTTGTATCTGGTAAAGTAAATCTTAAGATTGGTTTATTGACTATAAATTGTCTTTGCATCTGGGCAAGACAGAGTCTATTCTTTTTGGTTTAAGTTTCAACATAAACTGGGCCAAGCCTCCAGGTCACATGAAATGGTACTGCTATAAAGTATACATCTTTTGTTAAGTATTTAGGTGCAAACCTGGATCAAATTCTTTTGGCGTCGCCCTTTGATGCTTTGCATCAATGCTTTTCTTGTTTATTCTGTAGTGTCATTTATCACAGTCAAATGATACCAAAACAGAGTTCCTTCCCTTTAACATAAGTTTAAAGCAAGCTGCCACAGATGATTCATTCAGCATTTGGCTCAAAGACAATAGTTTACTGAGATTGATTATTTTCTTGTGGAAAATTATACTTAATGACTTTAATATGCATTAATCTTACATGCAGTGCTATTTCTATATAAACCAAATCTGATTCAAGCATAACATTTGATAATTTGGAGTACATTGTATCTGAATTTAGCAATTTTATGTCATGCAAATAGCCAATTGTTAAGCGGTGACAAAGAATAATCTGATGTATATTGTAAAGGTCAGGAAGGGATTTTTTTGCCTACATTAATTAATTTTGCTGATTATGAATTCTATTCTAATGAATAATATATATCCTTTTTTCCAAATTATTCATAAAAATTTCCAAATTATGTCAGTTGTGCCGAAAGTTTTTGTTGTATAATGTGTTAGCAGCTATCAACTGCTGATAAAGAAAATGTTTTCCAAATTTAAACTAATATAAAGGACTGTAAGCCATCATGTAACTTCCCAATTTTGAGGGAAAACACCCCTATAATTCCCAACTCCAGAAGGGTATAAAAATTGAGGAAAAGAACCCTATATACACGTATGACATCATAATGACATCTCATGATTTTAATATTAATACGCCTATTTCAAAATCCTCTTTGTTTCCCCTCCCTTGACCAATGTCAGTCTATGTACTAATTTTTTTTCCGTACTTTATATTTTTTTCTTTCTTAATTAAATTATATAGATTTGGAAAAACAGTGGAAACAAACAACATTTTATTTAAGGCCAAAATAGAATATTATCACACAAATTTTTAGTACAAATGAGGACGTTAAGCACTTCAATCACTTCAATTTTTGTCCTAAAAATTCTCAATCCTAAATATCCTTAACTTAAAATATTACAACCCTGAAGCTATAATTATATTGCTCCAAAAAATAACTCGAAATCCCCCCCCCCCCCCCAAAAAAAAAAGAAAAATGAGGTTGACATAGCAATTGGCAAAGCAATTCTATTTCTCCCCATTATTTTCCTTGGAATGACTACTCTGAATCTAATCATAATTACTCATAGTAAAGACCAATAAATAATTCAAGGGAGCTTTTAAAAGCGAGAAGTACTATAGTACTTTACGGTATCTATGATGCAAGTTTAGCCTTTAATATTGATTTTTTTCCTACGTACATTTTATCTAAAAATAGAAAAGTTACATTTTATCTTAAAATAGAAATGGTTATAATTCTGTTTTTCTAGAAATTAACCAAGGACGTTTATGTTTTGTTTTTCTACTTATATTACTGTGGATATATCATTCTTGATATGAAATACATTTATCAAAAGGGAAATTTTTTGGTTACGCATATTAATTTACAGACATAAGTATTTAGCGTAAGTTTATAATATACAGACTTGGCTATATTTTACGTTGCATAATTTTTGTGGTTTTATAGCTTTTTTGATCACTAAATGTCCATTTCAACACACAAACAAGAGGGCCATGATGGCCCTGAGGTCGCTCACCTGTATAAAGCCCCCCCCCCCCAACGTTGCAGGGCCAATTTAACCCAAGGGCTTTTATTTGCACAAACTTGGTAGACACCCATAAGATGTTTCATGCTAAACATCTAAGCTCTAGCTCATTGGCCTTTTTAAAAGAAGATTTTTTTCAAGTTTTTACTATACACATATAGTTAAAAACAATGACACCCCTGGGGCCGGGCCAGTTTTGACCCCAGGGCTTTTATTTGAACAAACTTTGTAGACACTTACAAGAAGATGTTTCATGCTTAATATCTAAACTCTAGCTATTTGGGTTTTTTCAAAGAAGATTTTAAGTTTTTGCTATACACATATAAAGAAAATCAATGACCCCCGGGGCGGGGCCAATTTTGACCCCAGGTCTTTTATGTGAACAAACTTTGTAGACACTCACTAAAAGATGTTTCATGCTTAATATCTTAACTCTAGCTATTTGGGTTTTTTCAAAGAAGATTTTTTAAGTTTTTGCTATACACATATAAGGAAAATCTATGACCCTCGGGGCGGTGCCAATTTGACCCCAGGCTTTTATTTGAACAAACTTGGTAGACACCTATTAGAACATGTTTTGATGCTAAATATCTTAGCCATAGCTCTTTGAGTTCTTTAATAGAAGATTTTTTAAGTTTTTACTATATGCATATTGGGAAAATCAATGACCCCTGGGGCGGGGCCAATTTTGACCCCAGGGCTTTTATTTGAACAAACTTGGTAGACACTTATTAGAACATGTTTCATGCTAAATATCTTAGCTCTAACTCTTTTGGTTCTTTAAAAGAAGATTTTTTAAGTTTTTACTATATGCATATAGGGAAAATCAATGACCCCCTGGGGCGGGGCCAATTTTGACCCCAGGGCTTTATTTGAACAAACTTAGTAGACACCTATTAGAACATGTTTGATGCTCAATATCTTAGCCATAGCTCTTTGAGTTCTTTAAAAGAAGATTTTTTAAGTTTTTACTATATGCATATAGGGAAAATCAATGACCCCCCGGGGCGGGGCCAATTTTGACCCCAGGGCTTTTATTTGAACAAACTTGGTAGACACCCATTAGAAAATGATTTTCATGCTAAATATCTTAGCTCTAGCTCTTTGGGTTCTTTAAAAGAAGATTTTTTAAGTTTTACTATATGCATATAGGGAAAATCAATGTCCCCCCCCCCCCCGGGCGGGGCCAATTTTGACCCCAGGGCTTTTATTTGAACAAACTTGGTAGACACCCATAAGAACATGTTTCATGCTAAATATCTTAGCTCTAGCTCTTTGGGTTATTTAAAAGAAGCTTTTTTAAGTTTTTACTATATGCATATAGGGAAAATCAATGACCCCCCGGGGCGGGGCCAATTTTGACCCCAGGGCTTTTATTTGAACAAATTTGGTAAACACTCACTAGAAGATGTTTCATGCCAAATATCTAAGCTCTAGCTCTTATGGTTTTTTAAAAGAAGATATTTAAAGTTTTTTCTTTCGGTTGCCATGGCAACCAGAGTTCTGCATGGAATTAAATTCTTTGAACAATTTTTAAAGGTGACCACCAAAGGATCATTCCTGTGAAGTTTGGATGAAATTGGCTTAGTGGTTTATGAGGAGATGTCATTTAAAGTAAAAGTTTACGGACGGACGACGGACGACGGACGGACGGACGGACGCCGGACGAAAAGCGATCACAAAAGCTCACCCTGTCACTTTGTGACAGGTGAGCTAAAAAGGCAAGAATATCAGTAGCTTGATTTCTGGAGATCTATATCTGGTCAATTATTAAAGTTCTAGCAGTGTTCTATGAGAAAAAAATATGTTTGAAAAAAAAATTAGAGGGGACAGATGGATAAACAGCAATCAAAAGCAGTACTATAGAAATTTCTGTGATGAGTCATTTTTTATAATTCACAATATTATTACACTACCATTTATAAGATATTTTTAATAATCATATGCCTGTTCCGAATTTATGGACTCAATGCAGTTGTAAATTTGTGCTGTCATTCACATATATTAATTCTTGAATACTTCATACTTACTCAAACTTTATGAATAATTTCAACCCCATTAATTATGAATATATATTTCAAATACAAAACTCACCTCTTGTTAAAAATGCTGCTGCTTCTGCCACGTTGAAGTTACTGCGCAAATCTGTCTCCTGAATGTAATGTACAAGGCCACAATATCTTGTTGGCCCGTTATTCAGACTTGGCACTACTATATCCTTCTTTAATGACACTACGCTTTCACCATAATACACATATTCTACATTTTTATCCTCAGTTGTCTCTGGAATGGCTTGTTCAGTATCAACTTTCTCCCCTGAACCTCCGATATTTACCGAAACATTCTCCGTAACTTCTTTCACAAGGTTTGAACTATGACCCTGAGGAGGAATTATTCCATTAATTCGAACTAGTTTTGTCACTGGGTTAACAATTTCATTATTTGAACTACTAAGTGAATTAATTGCTTTATCCGTGTTGCTAACATATTTAGATATCACACTAGAATTGGAAGATGTGCCACTAATAACAACATCACTAGCATCTTTTGGTTCTGATTTTAAATCATTGGAATAAAAATTTAAGTCTACAAATTGAACATTTTCACAGGCTGAATGGCATTCAGATTTCTGCATAACTTGTTCTGACTGATCAATTACAGGAGAGTCATGAGGGCCAGAATTTCCTGGTTTAACTAAGTTATCTATCTCAAAACCAAAGGATATGCCCAAGTTCTCTGGGGTCTCTTCTACACGTTTATCTAAGAAGATCACAGACTTCTGTTTCCTACCATTAGAACCATTATTAGAACAGGTTTTACCTTTACTAATCACATTAGAATTTGTTACACTATTATCTTTATTATTGTAAACTGAATAAGTGGAATTCGTTTCCGATTCATTATTACAAAACTGTGACTGTTTGCTTGTAAGCGTCACTTGTGAATTTCCTACACTACTAGCATGCACAGTACTACTGTCTGTACTTTTATTTGGTGAAATAATAGATGACTTCATTTGAACTGGACTTGTTTTAACTGTTCTATTAGCTTCACTTAGTGAAGTAATTTCTTTATTTTGCACACTAGGCTCCTTTACATTTTTCATGTCTGAGTTTGTCTCTTCCTTATCTGTCACTGCAGTATTAGCAACACTAGCAGCACCTTTCTCCAAAATTACAATGACATCTGAAACAATATGTTCTTGACTACCTGTCTTCACAGTGGAGGTAGCAACACTGGATTGAACACCAGTAACTTTGTTCAATACCTCTGGACTAGAACCTATAGAATGTCTTCTTTCAGTGGGGCTGCCTTTCCAGACAGATTTTTTGTGATCATGTTCACAATCACCACTATCCAGAGACGAACGTTTCTCCGATGAGCTACACGAGTCCGGAACTTTTGGTCCGGCGGCCATCTTTGCGTATGATAGTCTTGGTGACAGAATACTGTCAACAGCTTGACTGCCTTGAGTGGCAGGGAGTGACTTAACAGATTCAAGATCACTATCGTCTTGGGATTTTAAACCAGATGGAATGGGAACATCACCAGTAGAATTTCTGCGACCTTCTTGCACTGATTGTCTACCTTTGCCACTTGTAAGGGCTGGAAATGCCGATGGACTTAAATCTCTTAAACGAGCATCACCCTCTACCATAGATGAGGGAGGAACAATGCTAGGCACTGATGCTTTGTTACTAGACTGAGACAGAACTGGACGTTTGTCTTCATGTCTACGACCAGGTTTACTATTACCATTGTTTGTCATAAAATGATTCTGAGGAACAACTTCTTTAGTAACTTTCTTCTTTTTCTTACCAACAACTTGAAATTCATCCTCTTTTGGAACTTGAGGGACCTCTAAATCAGTAAATATGAAAGCATCATCAACAAGATTTTCTGAAGCTTCAAAGCTAGCAAGTACTGGCTGATGATTCATATCTGCAAAAGAAAGCTCACTCTCAGCCTTTATAGGCGGACTTAAGGACTTATTCTTCTTGTTCTTAGCATTTTTCTGTTTAACTGTGACATTATTTATTAAGCTAGCATCTAATTTTAACATATCATGATCTGATTTAGTTCCAGGCAATTCTGATTTATCCATCTTTGAGGCTTTGGCTGGTTTATCAGATTTCTTTTTGTTGTTTTCTACCCCACTTCCGGTCACAATATCTCTTTTGTTATTGGTAGCAGAAGGCTCCTTCTCTTTCACACTTTCCCTACAAATTGCACCTTTTGCAAGTTTATCATTATTAACATAAATAGCATGTTTAGACATATCAATTTTATCATTTTGTTTGAGCGATGACTTAGCAACTTTTTCAGAACTTGAATATAAACTATCCACATCACCATTTTCCACAATATCAACATCAGCTTTACCACTAGAGTTTCCCATATTGTCTTCCCCGCCTTGGGTTTCAACACCAGCAAGGGCAGGTTGAGCAAAGTCGCTCCCCTTTTCCTCAACCTCCTCTACCGAACTGGAGGCAACAGGAGATTTTTGTTTCTTGTCTTTATTTTTCTTATTTGATTTTTGTGTTTTACTTGGAATTTCTTCGACAACATTTGAGTTTTTCTTTGCCTTTTTATTTGAATCATTCTGCCCACCACCTATGAAACTTAATACTTCCTCCAGTGATTTATCACCCTTATAATTTTCAATGTCCTCTGACTTTTTCTGCAGCTGCTGCTCTTTTTCTTGTTTTTTCTTACGACGCCTCAATGCTTTAGTTGCATTATCGTTTTCAGTTTCTTTATTTGAACCATAATCAGATCGGGTGAGATGTCCTAAAGGAAAGGTTCCATAACTTTCGAATGGTTGATTAGCCACTGTGCCACCCCCACTTGAGGGTGACTCTCTCATTTGTTTGTACTGCGCCGGATTCACGCTACGGGTTTCGATTGGGTTGCCGTTTTCATCTGTGCCAACTGGCGCATCATCTGGAAAATATACAATTTCAGTATAATTATCTGAATTTTCAATGGCTCTCTGAACTATGTATAATTCTTTCTTATTTCTATTACAAAAACAGCAGCTTTACCCACTGTGAATACTGCATTAACATATTAGTTAGGACTGTGCTATAAAACAGTAGGGGTGTAACAATATGGCAAAAACCTTATTGCAATATATTGCCATTTTGCCAAAGCATATTGCAATACGTATTGTCGTGTATATGTTTTAATGTAAAGATGGAGTAACATTATATATTATTACTATATGTATATATTCTTAGTAGAAAATAGAAAGTAAAGTGTCACACAATTTGATAAACAAAACGAGTCGCGTGTGACCTTTCACATCTGGGCCGCTTATGTAAATTATGCGGCCGCATATTGACTTTAAAGTGTAATAGTTGCCGCCAATAAATTCGCTAATTAAAGATTTTATGCGAAATTTGTAGGAAATTAGAAGGCAATTAATTGAAAATTATGATTTTTTATAAAATACCGGTTTTCCAAAAATCGTACCACGGAACGAAATTTATTTTTTCATATTGCAATATATCGGTATACCGGCAAACCGTTACACCTTTATAAAACAGCAGACAAAACCAACATAATGCGTTTGCGACCAGCATGGATCCAGACCAGACTGCGCGGATGATCAGGATCCATGCTGTTCGCTTACAAACCCTATAACAAGTACAGAAACTAATAGCGAACAGCATGAATCCTGATCAGACTGTGCGGATGCGCAGGCTGGTCTGGATCCATGCTGGTCGCACACCCATTATGTTGGTTTTCTCATGGCGCGGCTCATATGTATTCTTCAGTATACAAACTAGCATCTAACTTGTACACATAACCAAAACACTTTTTTATTCAGCATATAAAGGATACGAGATAACACAGGAAACAGACAAATGAGTATAATTATCACACATAATTGAAAAAAAAACCTTGCTAAAATGACCTTTAACATTATACAAAACAGCACAATTAATACAAAACACATACATGGCTAGTCATATCATTATATTATCAAACAACTTAAGACAATTTCCTCCATAACAATATAATGGTATTCTTTTTTTCAATGTTAGGGTTTTTTTTTATTTCCGATTATTTAGTTTTATGGCAAATCAGAATAATACAATTTATTGTCACATCAAAAGTTTGGAAACTAAAATACTAAAACGTATAATCAGCAAATTGGAAGATGAAGGACATGTCATACATGAAATAACAGCAAAATTGTTCAAGAGATGGCAACTGCATAGAGCATACTGAATTCAAACTCACAGAAGTCTGAAGCCAATAAGACACTGGCTAAGAAAGAAAATTGTTACAATTAGCACCACAGCTTCAGGTCAGACCATCTACTGGCAGAACATTTCTTTCAAGAAATTCTCAACATTTAGTCACCTTTTCTGTTAATGTAGACATAAACTTTTGTTTGGGAGTGGGGGGTCGTTTTCCAGACTTCCAATTTCTATGCAATATTTTCTCTTAACACAATGCCAATATTTGTAGAAATATTAGTTTTGATCAATGCTGATTTACAGCTTCTTTTTAACTGTATAAACTTAATGGCAAAGTTCCAAGGGAAACCTAGACATTAGTATACTTGTGATTATGGGTGATTTTACACTAATGTATATATCCTTTCATTACTAAGGACTCAGGAGGAGATGTTTTATGATCACACTGACAATCATCAAAAATATTATTTATTTTGTTTGTTTGTTTGTTTGTGTGTTTGTTTGTTTTGGGTATAAAATCACAATGACACTGTTAACATCAGACAACAAATTTCCAGCTTTATTGGTGGATGAAGACCTTATATGCCCCACTATACATTTTTGAAGCCAGCATAACATATAAATGTGTCTCTCACAATATGCTCTCCATTTAACCTTGAATTGATTATTTTAACCTAGAATCGTATATAAAGTCGAGTGATAATAGGCTCACTAATGTGATGGAAATGGTAACCAAGGACATTACATTAACAGTTAGCGCCAACTGATGATGGCAGTAAAAAATAGCATAATGATGCCTTAATGACTTGTCATACAGTCTCTATGTATTTATTATATAAACATTTTCACTGATTGAATTGTTCTTATGATTGGTTAATAGACTTGTTTTTTTATACTTTATCACTTGTTACATAACATGGATAAGTACAGTACTGATGGGGGGAAAAAATATTTATAAATGTCCAGTTTAAATTCATAAATGATTCAATTTAAAATTTAACTCACTTTGATTGCCAATTAAGTTTGCTATTGTTTGTTTTAGTTTTGTTTCATTTTACAACATAATTTAGGTCATATGGGGCCAACAGGAAAGATGGTTTTGGCTAACCTTGGGGTGTTACATATTAAAAGCAACACCATGGGTCAAAACCACTTCACCTGCTGGAGCTAAGAGATGCATTGATTCCAGTAATTCAGACCCTTTTAGTCACCTCTTACTATTATGCAGGGTTAAACGGTAGCTGCAATTCTAATGCAGGCAATCCCTCAGCCACGAAAAAAATTTTGCTATTGATTCAATTTATTGTTATTTTTACAGAAATTATGCTGACTATGCAAAAGATAAAAAATATACCCTACAATTCAGTTGCGTAAACAACAAATATTGCACATAAAAACATTGGTGTTGTAAATATAACATTGCAATCACAACTTATAATCAAAACACAAAACTGCCCAACTTTTCCAATTCAAACTTAGTAATTAAATGCCAATGACTGGCTTATAACAAAGTACTAACATATTATACATGTATTCCCAGTGCATACATATATTTCCAGCTATAGAAATTGATTTTTCTATGGAGTAGAGTATTCCCCCCAGATGAACATACTACATGCATACATTTTACGATTTTATCTCTTACACATCTCTAACACAAAATACAACTTTTTTTTATAAACTCTTGACATTACATCCCTTATTTTAAAGACGTCACCAAATCTCTGATAATGCAGTGCCTATTGTAATTACAAAAGATTTGGACAGCCCATATAAAACACAAATTAAATGAACACAAATAATCTTTAAAGCTGCCTGTCAAAATGTCGGGAGCCAAACTGAAGCAATTATTCAAAGATGAAAAATGGAATTTGTAATAGTTTCAGAATGCAGCAACACAAACTATCAACAATTTTATGTCACATCATTTTCACCAGTCTAAACACACAAGAGACACAACCTGAATTTCCATTTTTGGAGCTCTCCATTATCAATTTTAGGGATGTCAATGTGAATATTTAAAGTTTGTCAGCCAACAGTATAAAGCCTGGTCAGACTGCACGGATGTGCAGGCTGGCCTGGCTCTATACTGGTGGCAAAGTCTGAATGCTTTCGGTTCCATCACTTTAAGGGTTAAATTAATTGAGGTCTTCACAACTCATACTGTATCTCTATCACTAGCTAATGGAGGTAGAAGACCTCTGGCCCCTCTTGTGCATTATTACATGAGAACCTTCTTGTATAATATTGAACAATTTCAAAGAAAAAATTCAATGTTCACAACTGCATTACAATGAACATAATACTATATTATATTGTAAGTCAGAAATTTTTCAAGTTTTTTGGAAAACATAACCCAAAGTCCCTTTTATGGCAAGTTATTCAGTGTTAACTTAGCCATCTTAAAACACAAGCCTATTGGGTTACAAAATGTAACTTTATCATGCTCAACTGATGAATAGTAACCACAAGCATATGAATGTTACAATACATTGTCTTCACATTCATTAAATACATTGAAAAACATGAATTGAATTATAGAAACTTGGTTTATAATCTCCAATTTCAAAACTAATTATTTTAACACATTTACCCAAATCCTACTATTAATGTAATTAGTATCATTCTTTTTGGGCCTCAATTTTCTGGTTATGCTAGTATCATAACTTTGATCTTATATCAACAGACAGATGTGGGAATACATGACAAAGAGAAGCTGATCCCCTATTCAAATGAACAACTCCATGAAATCTGATTACAATTAATGAGCAACCTTGAGATAGCAGAATAATGGAAACCTAGTAACATCAGAATTAAATGAGAAACCTTGAGATAGCATAATAATGAGCAACCTTGAGAAAGCAGAATAATGGGCAACCTTGAGATAGATGAAGATGGGCAACCTTGAGATAGCTGAATAATGGGCAACCTTGAGATAGCAGAATAATGAGCAACCTTGAGGTAGTAGAAAAATGGGCAAACTTGAGGTAGCAGAATAATGAGCAACCTTGAGGTAGCAGAATAATGAGCAACCTTGAGATAGCAGAATAATGAGCAACCTTGAGATAGCAGAATAATGAGCAACTTTGAGGTAGTAGAAAAATGGGCAACTTTGAGGTAGCAGAGTAATGAGCAACCTTGAGGTAGCAGAATAATGGGCAACCTTGAGGTAGCAGAATAATGAGCAACTTTGAGGTAGCAGAGTAATGAGCAACCTTGAGGAAGCAGAATAATGAGTTATCTTGAGATAGTGGTAGATTAGCTATTTTTAACATAAATCCCTTATAGAAGGCTGGTAGTTTTATACAAATGCCTGCCTGTGCGTGTTAAGATAAGCTGGTATATATCAGTTGCCACGTAACAAAAAAGTGTCGGCATGAACTTAAATAATTTTTTTTTTTTTTAAATCATCATAGCAATGATCCATCACACAGGGACTCGACACAGTGTTGGGATAGTGTAAAAAGTAATTCTAGAAAAAAGTATATACTGTATACTGACTATATATTATATTATACAGTAGATATTTTTTCTAGAATATCCCAACACTGTGCCGAGTCCCTGTGATTAATTATTCTATAAAGTACTATATAAACATGTTTCACCCATCAATATTTGTCTATTACCTGTAGTGTCTACAATCTCGGTGTTTTTCATTAAAGTATCTGATGGAGAAAGAGCTCATCAAACTCCACAAGTTCGTTCATTATGTGTACATTACACCTTGTACAAGCT